TGCTTGGTTCCAGTGAACCCAGTTGCTGGGTTCCGTCGAACCCAGCAAATGGGTTCCATCGAACCCAGATCTACTGGGTTCAATGACCCGAGGAAGAAAGAAGAGGAAGAAAGAAAAAGAAAAAGAGAAAGGAAGAAGATGAACGAAATTTTTTTATTTTATTTTTTTAAAATATAAATAGTAATAATGTGAGTTGGCATGAAAAAAAAAAAATCCACATCAACACGTTTTTAGTTTGTTTTTGTCACGTCATCAAAAAAATTATAAAAAAATGCCACATAAGCGAGTTAACGATTGAAAGTAACAGAAGGACTAATGGAGTGCATTTCTTAAAGTTTAGGGATAAAAAAAGTGCAAAAAATTATTAAGGGATCAAAAATGTGCAACTCACTAAAGTTGAGGGACCAAATTTAGCATTTAACCTTTTTTATTTTTAATGTAATATTCAAAGTTAACAATATTATACTTGCAATTAACCAAACCTGTGAAGTTAAGGGATAGATTTACAACCACTTTTTGTTAGTTAGCTGATTTAAAACCCACTAAGTTGAAGGGTAATTTCTTGTCTTTTTCTTAATATATTATCCAAAGTTAGCAATATTATATTTGCAAATTAATATACTAAAATTCCTCTTTTTATTTGAAAGTTTCAAATATTTTTTCTTTAGCAGATTTGGCATGATTATACCTGCAACTTTATTTATATGATTCATTTTCATTTTCATTGAATAAATACAATTCTGGTTCCTTATTTACAAAAGATTCATTGCAACAAGACATTCAACATGTATTTTTGATAGCCGAGTTTTGTATTTGTAAATACAAATTTGATAAAAAAAAAAGTTATTTATATTTTTAGTTATAAATTTAAAATTCAGACCCTTAATCTCTAAATATTGGAAAAAAATTAATTAAATTAACATATTACAGTTATAATTGGTTTAAAAAGGAGACTCCTTGTGATAAAAGTATACAAACTTGTAAATGAGTTGGGTGTCCATTGTATCCCTTTAAAATAATATCTTTTCTTTGTCAATAAAAAAAATTACTCCTAAGATATAACAGTTTGACACCGAAGCGCTGGCAAAACTGAAACCTCACAATTCAAAGTTATGGTATCAAATAAAGAAAACCCTCATTTAATTGGGCATTTGTTTTTGAATGAAAATCTTGATCTCACCCAATAGCAACGTAGATTCAGGCAATTCTAGAAAAGAATAAAACCCATGAAAAGCATTTGGAAATTTAACCACATGCACTTGCTTTCCACATTTTTTCAATCCTTCAACATATTTCCTCTGCCAATCTTGTAAAGGATCAAACCCATCGATAATGATATCAGTAAACATAAAGGAATACAAGGAAAATCCACTCAGGAAAACGGATCTCTGATATATATATATATATCCTTTGCAATAGTCTAGAATACAAGAGAATTACAGAGGAATTTAAGAAGATTGAAGAATGCCAAAATAATTGAACACCCAACAAAGAGATACAAACACTTTTATACTAGCATATGCCACCTATTACAAAATTGACACAAACCAATAGTAACTAATAAGTTAAATAAGAACACATAACTTCAAAGACTTCTAACCATTAGTTTTTTTGCATATCAATTCCTTCCCCTCCAAAACACCCTTGTCCTCAAGGATGGAAGTTTGGAAACTATTGTTGAATATCATAGAGATACTCCCAGGTAGCATCTTAAGGATAAGCATGAAACCACTAGACTAACACCTTAATGGCAGCCTGATTCCTCATTTCATCATTTTTCTTCCCAAAACAACTATAGGCTCTAGCATCACTTGTAAAGACAAATCAATAGGAAATTGAGTAGTCACATGAAACCCTACTCCAACCTTTTTCTTTAGTTGTGACACATGAATTACTAGATGTGTTTGAGAAGAATCAGGTAAGGCTAATCTATATGCTACCTTACCCACTTTATCAATCATTTGAAATGGGCCAAAATATTTAGCAGTAAGTTTGTGAGATAGCTAGGGTTGCACAAACTCCTACCTTTATGGTTGAAGTTTGAGATGCACCCAATCTCCAATAGTAAACTATCATTATTGTCTATGCTTGTTAGCTTGTTGTACCATTCTTTACTGTGCTCGAGTGAGGTGAAATCTTAGTACCTTCGTCATAACTTCTCGAGCTTGCAGGCTTTCATCAACAATTGCAACATTTGAATCTCCAAGTACATAAGCTATATGCAATGGTGGTAGAAATCCATACATAGCCTCAAATGTAGAAATTTGGGTTGCAGTATGAAAAGTAGTGGTGTACCACCATTCAACAAGAGGTAACCACTTGCTCCATTCTGTAGGAGGATCACAAGTCATGCACCTCAAATAGGTTTCAACACACTTATTAACCACCTCTATTTGTCCATCAGTTTGGGGATGGTAAGCAGAACAACACTGCAATTCAATCCCTTAGAGTTTGAATAACTCTTGCTAAAAATTACTAAGAAAAATGTGATCCCTGTTAGATACAATTGCTTGGGGCAATCCATGCAACTTAAATACATTATCCATGTAAGCTTGTGCAATAGTAAGAGCTGAATAAGGATGTTGTAAGATGATGAAATGTGTATATTTGTAAGTCTATCAACAACAACAACAAAAACAATATCTTTGCCATAAGATTTTGGAAGGCCAGTTATGAAATCCACGCTAACATGAGTCCAAATTGCTTCAGGAATTGGTAAAGGTTGCAGTAGCCCTAGAGTTGGAGTATTTTCTAGTTTGCAATGCTGACATACACCACACTACCTTATGTATTACCTTACATCTTTCTCTAAGCTTTTCTAATAAAAAAAAAAGTGCTAGCCTTTTTGTGGAAGCTTGAATTCCAATGTGACCTCCTAATGCACTGTCATGCATCAAATGAATCAGTTTCCTCCTAAGATTAGCATTATTTGCCACAACTAGTCTTCCTTTTTGGCTTAGTTGCTCCTCATACCAACTATAAGCAAGATCTTTCAAAAAAACCTTGCTATAATTTATTACAGATATCTTGGAGCACTGGATCAACTTCCCAACTAAGTTTCACCTATTCATAAATATCAGGAAGAATCTTAGAGACAAGGTTTTGAAAACCGAACCGGATCGGCCGGTCGAATCGATCGAACCGGTACCCAGTAGTGTAAACGGTTCGGTTCTATCTTTTAAACCGTTTGAAGATCAAATCGTTTGAAAACCGATAAGAACCGTTGGAACCGCTCAAACCAGAAAATCGTTCGACCGGACGGTTCAATGCTTGAGAACAAAAACTTGAGAAATTTGTCCCCTATGAAGCTTGAACTTGCAACCTTGAAGTCCTTTTAGTTTATTCCAACCCTTTGCCACCAGGACAATGCACACTGTTTGTCAATGGATGCTTGAAATTTTATTTAGTCTATTTTTAAAACCATAATTATTTAAAGTTTGTTCATAAGGATACTCGAACCTGTGATCTTTGGTATGAGAAAGCAACCACCTATCATCGCACTCAATGGATATCTTGTGAAATACTTTACAAAATAATATATTTATACTATATTAATGAACCGATGATTTTACCGGTTAAACCGGTCAAACCGTGAACCGGAGGTCAAAACTGTTTGACCTCCGGTTCGGGTTTAAAAACATTGCTTAAAGACCACCATTTGCGTGAGCTAGTTATTAAACACCCAAGAAAGTGTATCTGCTACAACAATTTCTTTTCTCTTTTTATAACTAATTGAAAAATCATGGCCCATTAATTTAGCCAACCAAGCTTGTTGTAAAGGACTATTAATCTTCTTCTCCAAAAGATAGTTCAAACTCTGGAGGTCTATTTGTACTATAAAATGCCTCCCTGTCAAATAATGTGACCACTTACACACTACATAAATCAAAGCTAACAACTCCTTTTCATACACAAATAAACTTTGATGTCTTGAAGACAAAGCCTTGCTAATAAAAGCTATTGGATGCCCTTGCTGTAAAAGAACAACACCAATTCTAGCACTGGAAGCATCGGTCTCCATTACAAGCTCCTTGGAAAATTTTGGCTGAGTTAACACTAGAGTTGTTGTCACAACATGCTTAAGGGATTCAAAAGTTTCACTAGCCTCCCTTGACCAATGAAAACCCTCTTTTTTAAGCAATTCTACCAAAGGTTTACTCAAACTCCCATAATTCCAAATAAACCTTCTATAATATTCAATCAAACCAAGAAATCCCCTCAATTCCTTAACAATCTTCAATTGAGGCCATGTTGAACAGCAAAAATCTTCTTAGGATCAATAGAAACTCCCTCTTCAGAGATATATTGCTCAAAATATTCTATCATGTCACAACCAAGGAAACATTTGCTTTGCGTGGAAAATAGCTCATTATCTTTCAACAGCTTAATACTTGTCTCAAATGGTAGATATGCTCCTCCAAGCTCTTATTGTAAACAAGAATATCATCAAAGAATATCGGAACAAATTTTTGAAGGCAAACTTTGAAAACGTCATTCAGAAGAGATTGAAAAGTAGAAAGTGCATTAGTGAGACCAAATGACATGACTAAATATTCATAATGCCCTTCATGAGTTCTGAAAGCTATTTTTGGAACATCTGGTGGATACATCCTAATTTGATGGCATCCTAATCTAATATCAATCTTAGAAAAAATTTTGATCCTTACAGCTCATCTAACAACTCTTCAATTAGGGGTATGGGATATTTATACTATCCTTAAAGTTCCTATCTATAATTTTGGTAGATTCTGGGTTCTCACTTATTTCACTCTTTTAATTTTATGTTTAAATCAAGAAAAGAACAATCTATGGTTTTATTGTGACAATGCTTACCCATTATTCTGTGTTCTTGTTTGATTAATGGGAGAAAACTCCTTGGGAGCTGAATAATCATGAGAAAATTGAGGCTGCTGGGAAAAAGAAAGAAGAAGGCAATATACCATTTAAATTTGGGAAGTATCAACAAGCAGCAAAGAAGTATGATAAGGTAACATCATGCATGATATTTTTATTTCTTATTCTGGCAGAGTACATGATTATAAATTCCAAAAAATTCTGACTGCTATTTATTCTCTAAACCCAGGCTCAGATTATGTCAATGAAGATGTATCCTTTGGGGATACAGAGGAAAAGCTAGTAAAAGCATTAAAGGTATCTTGCTGGTTGAATGGTGCAGCATGTAGCATCAAATTAAAAGATTTTCAGGAAGCGATCAAGTTATGTTCCAAGGTGAGTTGCAAAATTGCAAAGCCACAAACAAACTCTATATCTCTAGAATGAAAAGGGTGGATGGTCCCCCTGTTACAATGATAACAAACATGTATTTGAGGTCTAAAATGGGATTTTGGGTTGTTTACTCTGCTCCTCTACTACTCTTGCACTCATTCCTCATCATTGCATGCTTTGCCATTGATCAAGAACAAAAGCATTGTCATAATTTCAACTGTATCTCTCTTCGTTCCCTACCCACTACTTGTTCAGACTTCAGAAGAAAAGAGGAAAAAGGTTGATGGGTCAATTGCTCCATTTTTGTTGTTTGAATTCTGGCATTTTTCTTCTGCACCACTACCATATCTCCCATTCATGACTTCTTATGTCAAAGGAGCCATGCTTCTTCCTCTATGTGTGCACATATTTAATACATAGGCAGTATGGAAATCCTACATACTTATGTAGTTAAACTTTTAATAATCCATGTTAACTGTATTATATAACAGCTGGTTGTCTGGTGAAGTGAGAAAAATTAGCTTCTTATAATTCCAAGGCTCCTCGTGCAGATGCTAGATGTCGAGTCCTACAATGTTAAAGCTCTTTACAGACGAGCACAAGCCTTTATGGAAATTTCAGATTTAGTTTTAGCAGAATTGGACGTTAAAAAGGCACTTGAAGCTGATCCTCAAATAGGTAGGGGTAGAGTTTATGTAGCACAAAATTCCTTAATAGCTTTTACATATTGTGAAGTCATACATCAACATGGTGCCTCAATGGCAGGGAGGTGAAGCAAATTCAGAAGACATTGAAACAACTTCAAGCCGAGAGCAACAAGAGAGATGCAAAACTGTATTCAAACATGTTTGCACGAATGACAAAAGACTCATCCACAACCACCAAGGTAGGTGCACCTCTCCATTTAAGGTCGGTCCCCTTCTAAAGATTTCATAATCTGAGAAATGAATGGATCACTGTTCTTACATCTTGAAAGAAATTATTTAGAATCTGGGAATGCTACTTGAAACAAATTTGCTTCATTGGTTAAAATGTATTTTTGAAAATCATTGCCGCAGTACACACTTGATGAATCTCATGTTAAGGAAATATTAAATTTTATCATACAGTGAACTGAATGTCTTTGAATATTGTGGCAGAAAATGAAGCTTGAGAAGGCAGAGAATGAGAAGCAGGAAGAGGCGGCAGCAATGGAAGTGGAAACCAATACTGATAATTCAGCGGCACCTTCTGAAAAATGGTTGCTAATGAGTACACATATGGAAAATGTATATGTAATGTATGTAATGATAATCATTGCAGACCGATATAATCGGAAAATAGAGACAATGCATAAAGAGAATAATTCTTGTACGTTTCAATTTTCAAATATCCTCACGTCTCATGTACAAGCCTCTTTCAGCATCCGAAATTTTAGAAGAAGCTGATTACATTTCTCACATTCTTAAAACGATCAAGTATAATTTGTTCACGTTTGTTAATAACAAAATGCAACATATTCCTTCAATGTAAAATAACTATTATTTTTTTTATTTTGAATTTATTTTAAATTAATTTTTTTTAATTTTTTAAAATAAACAAATATTTTATTTTATTTTGACTTTATTATTATTTATTTATTTTGATTAAATATTTTGTCACAAAAAATTTTATTTTATCTTTTAATTTTTTTAAGGGTGTAAATACATAAGTGGTTCTAAGATTTTAATTTTTAAGAAAAAATTAAAGAGTGATAATTATTATGGAACAAAAAGAATATTATAAAATAAAAATTATTAAATAAAAATGATAACACTTAATATCAAAAGATGGATTTCCACTGATAGAGTCTATCAAATAAATGAATACATAATTATTTAATAGAGAGTTTAAATTGTATCATTAAAATAAAAATCATTAAAAAGAAAACAACACCCAATTTCAAGGAATTTACTTTCACCAATAATTTATATTTTATAGTATGAATATTTTTTCTTTCGTATTCAACAATCCAATTAAATTAACTACAGTTACGTATGTTTTAAGACTTTGCTATTAACAAATACAATGAACTAGTCATTCTCGTTCTTCAATCCCAGAAAAACTGAAAGATAGCGAGAAAATCCCAGAAACTCATAAACCTGACATGACAGCATGCTACTTCAGTTTGACAAGTCTACATCCTGAATAATTATATCGAACAAAACAATACTCCATGGACCATGACTTTGTTGCGTTGTTAATAGTTAATAGAATGCCTCACGTCTTCCCTATCCTTTTTGTCCTCAAATTCTCCTCCTTGGATTTTTTTTGTCAAAACCACAAGCCACCCATATTGTCTATTTCTTATCCTACCATACTAGGACCTTAATTAATGTACAAGAGCCAAGGGCCAAAGAATGGAAATATCTAATACAATGGCCTGCTCAGCCTTACTCTGTTTAGTCCTTCTGTCACAAGTTTGCTCAGGGCTTGCTATCTCTGCTTCAGCAATCAAGTTTCTTCCTGGATATGAAGGGCCTTTGCCATTTCATCTCGAAACTGGGTTAGTATTGGAAAGGTTTGGTTTTGATCAATCAAAATGTTGAAGAAAAGTGTTTTGTTGTGTGCTTAATTATGTTATTTTCAGGTATGCGGGTGTGGGTGAATCAGAGGAAGTGCAGCTCTTTTACTACTTTGTTAAATCAGAGAAAAATCCTGAAGAAGATCCTCTCCTGCTTTGGTTAACTGGTGGCCCAGGCTGCACTGCCTTCTCAGCTTTTGCTTATGAAATTGGTAAGGGACAAGTGCTAAAGTTACCGAGAAACACTCTTAATTTGAGCTATTATTATCAGAACTGGAAAGGATCAAAGTAACCGCATTTTAATTTAAATAACATCCAAAAAAAAAAAAAAATCAAGTGAGTATTTATTACCTTAGAATACAAAAACTTGAGCCTCCATGTTAAAAGTTTCGAGTTTAAACTTTAGACGAATTGAGAGGGATTTGAGAATGGAAATGGGAAATTAGACTGTTAGACATGTTGTAAAGCACATATCTATAAAAAGAGAAAAAAAGTAATTGTTTGAGCTATTGTAGGTCCACTGAATTTCAAGGTAGAGGAGTATAATGGAAGCGTACCTAAGTTGACGTTGAATCCATATTCATGGACAAAGGTAATTTGCTTCATTTTTCTTTGGTAGTTTTACTTATGATTTGCTTGATTTAACTTATTGAAGTGCTATACTTTACGTTTATTTATTTTTCAGGTGGCCAGCATCATCTTTGTAGATTCACCTGTTGGCACCGGATTCTCCTACTCCAGAAAGCCTCTTGCCTCTCCCAGCGGTGACTTCAAGCAAGTTCACCAGCTCCACCAATTTCTAAGGAAGGTATTAAAGAAGTATATAGGGTCTGAAAACCTTCTGATTTTTCTTATAAAATCTGTTTTCAGCTTCAGATCAATTTTTTTAGTTTGAATAAGAAAACTGTTGCTTAGTAGCTTAAAACTCTGTTTGGATTAAAGGAGTTAAAACGGAAAGAGGAGGAAGGTGAGGTGAGGGAGAGGTCTTTCTATTCTTTTATTTGGATAAAATAATTAAGGGAGACAGAAGGAAGGAGGGGAAGGTAAATGAAGGGCTGGCGGATTCCTCCAAATCTTTTATTTTCAGTTCTTCTAATTGAAAATATTTAAAGGGATTCTATTCACTTTTTTTTTTCTTTTTTTTTTTTTTAAAAAATTAATATTTATATTTTAACTTTAATTTCAATATATAAACTTATAAAATTTAATATTAATTTTGTAATAATTTTTTAAATTTATTTAATTAAATAAAAAATATAATATTTTTTTTCGCTCTCTTTCTTCTTTTTTAATCTATCTAAACAAAATTTATACTAATCATTTACTCTCCCTCCCTTCTTCTCCCTTTACTTTTCTTTACTTTCATCCAAACATATCCTAAGCTATTTTTTATGCATGCAGTGGATTATAGGTCATCCTGAATTCATCTCAAGTCCAGTCTACGTCGGCGGAGACTCATATTCCGGCGTAATTGTTCCAGCGCTCCTCCAAGAAATCTCTTATGGTAATTAAACTGGCTAATGAACTTTAAATTTCTCCTGGAATTCGAAATTTTTAATGGATTATAATCATGCAGGAAATGAAGAACAACATATCAGTCCATTGATAAATGTCAAGGTTCTTGAATCTTGATCACATCTCTGCTTTGTTTTTATTTTGAGAAGAAAAGAAAAATAATCTAAATTTGGGTATTTGATTCTGAATTGATTTCAGGGATACATACTAGGGAACCCCAAACTGAATTCAAGTCTTGAAAGCAGCTTTGAGATCCCATTTGCTCATGGAATGGGACTCATTTCTGATGAACTCTATGAGGCAATTTTTTCATCTCTTAAACCCCTTCAAATTTTCTCCAAAAATAGGGAAAAGAAAACAGAAAAATGCCATGCCATGTTGTTTAAACTCATTTGTTGATATTCTTTTTCCAGTCTTTGACAAAAAGCTGTGGGGGAGAAGAAAAAAGAGATGTAGATCCCAGCAACATCGAGTGCTGGGAAAATCTTCAGTATTACTACAAGGTATGTGGACATGTAAACAACCCAATCTTTGATGCGTAGTTGCTCATTTTGATCCATGCCTTACAACAACCTACATTATCAGTGCATTTCAGGAATTCAAATTGCACAAATACTGGAACCCCTGTGCGGTTTTGCCCTCCGAAAACAACCAGAGATGTCAGGCAAAAGACGCTACCTCCATGAGCTGCTACTCGATCCAGAACCGCCAATACCTCTTGATTGTCGTGTAATTACTCATCTTTTTAAAGTTTGGACTACTTCACATAATATATATAGATATATATATATTTTGTTGGTATATGCTATTTAGTAAGAGATAACCTCTTATTTCCTAAATCCCTTCACTGCCATCTCCAAACTTTGAGACCACCAATTTGAGGTCTCAAGTTCTTATTGAGACATACCCTTTAAAAACATTGCAACTGCAGATTTTTTTCCTCCAGAATACTCTGACTTGAATATTTTTCCTGGTTTATAGACTTATGGATATCTGCTGGCTGGTTATTGGGCTAATGATGATAGTGTCCGCTTTGCACTGCACATAATAAAGGTATTTGAGGAGTTGGTTGTTTCCACAATACAAACATCCACAAATTAACAAAAAGATCATGTTGGGTTCATGAATTTTTTCTTTTTGCTAATTAATTACTCATGTATGTGCAGGGAAGTATAGGAGAATGGCAGCGGTGCAAGTCTGGATTGTTTTATGATTCTGACATTCCAGACAGTTTCCAGTATCATGTAAACCTCAGTACCAAAGGCTACCGTGCTTTAATTTACAGGTAATTAAGCTCGTTCTATTTCGTACCTATATACATGTTTAAGGTATGCCCCACCATCTTTCTTTTTTATTTTGGTTTCTAAGTTATTTGCTTATGCTTTTCTGATAAGGCAGTGGTGATCACGACATGCTCGTACCATTCATGTCGACTCAAGCTTGGATAAGATCTCTGAACTATCCTATTGTTGACGATTGGCGGCCATGGATTTTAGAAGGGCAAGTTGCAGGGTTAGTCTTGATTCCATATCTTCCATCTCAGATTTTTTTTTTTTTTTTCTCATAGTGGAGCTTAGGTGCTTTTAATATTTGCATTATGCCATGCAGATACACGAGGACGTACTCCAATAGGATGACATTTGCAACTATTAAGGTAAGCAAATGTCTAATTTTCCTTGTTTAAGCTGGTTAGAAGAAATTGAATTTATCAGCTACTATTTCCTTTTTCGGGGTTCATTTGCAGGGTGGAGGGCACACAGCTCCAGAGTACAGGCCAGCAGAATGCCAAGCTATGTTTGACAGGTGGATATCTCAAGAACCCTTGTAAACTTGTGAGTTGTAACGTTCTTTGGAATTAATAGCAGTGTAAAAAGTGAAATTTGAAATTTGGCTTAGTGCCTGAACTTGTTAGATTAGTTCCAGTTTAGTCTTTAAACTTAATTCAGTATCCAATATTGTAACAAAATGCCGATGTGGCACATTAAAGACATTTTCTTAAAAAATCCTATTTATGAAGTAAGCAGGTATTAAAAAAATTCATGCCTTTTAATTCTCGAAATTATATATATGTTATTTTATATGTTCCTAGAGAAAAAAGTGTAGCATAAAATATAGGATAAGCAACACCAATTCCATCTAACCGTGAACTTCTCTAAACTGTTCATCTAGTTGATAAATGTCTTTCTTTATACAAATAAAAAACAATAAACAGTAACAGAACTGCTGTGTGTGTAAAGAAAAAGAACAGTTTTTTTTTCCTTCTTCTTTTTTTTTTTTTTTGCCTCTACAGAAAATAAACTTGTCCTAAACAGGAAACCTTGTAAACGCCATTTCCCGCTATAGCACTGTCTCTCGCTAATATGATGCTACTGGAAATTAACTGCAAGAGGAGACTATTACCCGACGAAGTTGACCCCAATTTGTATCTTCCTTGTTGTAAAGTTGACAAATACAGTAGGAAAACCATGATCTCGCATGCTTCGTGCCTACTTAGAGTATGGACAACATTTGGGTAGCGCAAGGCAAAATTTTCATCACTTGTCATGCAATTCCTTTTTCGGCAGTGTATCGGGCCTCCTGAATCTGAAATTGAACCTTATGCCTACAACAAATGGAACAAACTTTTTGTAAATATCTTACCACGTTATTTCGAGATGTGATGAGAAAGCGTTTGTAAATTTATAGCAAACAGTTGCAAATGCTGTTTCAGAGTTGATTTCTTAACAACAGATGTTTTTTTTTTTTTTTTGAAGATGCCGAGCATGGAAAGACGTTATATTTTGGGTCAAGAAAGAAAATGACAAGCCAGATTCAAGCGGTAAGCATTACCATGAGAGTTTCTTGAGAAGAACTTTAGCACTTCATCAATAATTATGACCTGCAGATTGAGAATAGGACATAAGTACACCACTCGATAAAGACATCTAGGACATGTAATAGTAAGCAATAGCATAAGGTGGAGGGGAATTAAATAGAATGAATTAATTGACAGCAATCTTATGTTCTGAATGCATGAAGCAAGTAATCTTCGTGGCATATACTTGAAACATGAACTTGTATCAGTTGGACACTATATATAAACAGCACTTACAGGGAAAGAAAGATATAGGACCATAGTCCACTCAGTCCAAGACAATGGCGTTACCTATGAAACAAAATATCCCAAAGCAAGAAATTAGTTTCCTCAGGGGGATAAGGAAAGTGAAAGAAGCAAGATCTTATAAATATCAAAATGGAAAGCAGAAGTGAAAACCTCACTGAAAAAGGAATGGACAGTGGATGGACATCCAAAATTAGAATGTGAAGAAGCATTGTCAGGATGATAGAGGCAAGCAGCCACAAATTACTCCAGGGAGGAATAACCCTGAATTAAACATGGCCAAAACAAGGGAATAATCTTAGGGAATAAAACATTAATTTATTTTTTTTAATTGGCTATGTAGCTGATATTAGGGAATAATCTTCCTGAATAAAACATAAAAAGAAAAGAGTAGCGGTTTACACCATAAATTGCAAAATTTTAAATTAATGTCACGTGTAAAATATTTTTTATTGGTTGGAGGGGATTGAGCCATGTCAGATTTGGATTCTGGGCCCCATGACAAATCAGCACTTGTGTTGGCAAAAGAGGAGAGGTAAAGATAATTTTTTATGGAGTAATTATCTTCTTGAGATAGAAAGGGATAATGGGAGCTGAAAAATATGAGAAGATTGCAGTTAACAAGGGGGTTTTATCTGATAAGAGTACAGGTGGCGAAATCTGCAAGGAGATTAGATCAGGTCAAAAGGTGAGTTGTCTCACTACTTCAAGAAACCACCCATGATTGAGTAACTGCAGAAAGTGGAAGTTATTGTCAGCACAAGGAGAACAAAAAGGAAATTTTGGAAGGGAGAACACACAGCCAGCCCTACTGAAACATCTACAAATTTTCATACTTTCATTTTCTCTACACATGCTTCCAGATTTTGGATTTCAGCACAGATTTCAGTAGAATTAGGGTGTTCTTCATCATTTCAGTAAACAATTTAATTTATGTACTTGCTACATTAGTTTCATTTCATGCAATGAATTTCAACATTTCAAGTTTCTTTCAGGTTGCCGCTTTGGGTTTTGCAGTTGTGGTTGTATTCTTATTTTCCAGCCCTAGCTCCTGTCTCATCTGCTGTTCCAGCCCGGGATCTACTCACCTACGGCTTCATGTTCAAGAATGCCGTGGAGAACAAGAGGAGCTTCGAGGAGTGCCTCAAGTTTTTTGCTTCTCTGTCTGTTGAATGACCCGATGCAGACTTTGCTGTGTTTCTTGGCGGATCTCACGGTCCTTCATGGTACAGGGCCGATGTCAGATCCCCAGATTTCAGAGCGTCTTGGTCTATTTGTGTGACCTCCTGGGATTTGTTTGTTGGCTGTAGTTTGAACACTCTCAACTCCATGTGGCATGGAGCTTTATGCACCGAACCAATTCT